ATAAGACTTCCCTACAACCCAGAAATTTCACTACTAGGCTGAAAGGATATCCTTACTCAAAGGATACAGAAGTGCTGATTCAAAGGAGCACATGCACCCCAGTGTTTATGGCATCACTACTGACAATAGCTGAATTATGGAAAGAGCCCAAATGTCCATCAACTGATGAATGGATAAAGAAGAGGTGGTATATATATACAATGGAGTGCTACTCGATGGTCAAAAGGAATGAAATTTTGCCATTTGCAACAGCTTGAATGGAACTAGAGTGAACTATGTTAAGCAAAACAAATCAGAGAAACATAAGTATCGTATGATTTCCCTTACATGTGGAATTTAAGAAACAAAAAGATAAGCATAGTGGAAGGGAAGGAAAAGCAGACAGAGAGGCAAATCTTAGGAGACTCTTAAATTCAGAGGACAGACTGAGGGTTGTTGGAGGGGTATTGCATGGGTTGGTGGGCTAAGTGGGTGATGGATATTATGGAAGGCATTTGTTGAGATGAGCACTGGGTGTTATGTAGGTGATAAATCACTAAATTCTGCCTCTGATAGCATTATTACACTCTCTGCTAACTAACTTGGACTTAAATAAAAATTTTCAAAAAAGTGATGTAACAGACAAACATGTGGAATGAAAGAGAGAGAGGCAAACCATAAACTAAACTGCTAACTCTTAACTACAGGGGAGGTAGTGGGAGATGCGATAAATGATAATGGGTACTAAGGAGGGCACTTCTTATAACTGAGTGTTGTATGTAAGTAATGAATCACTAAATTCTATATCTGAAACTAATATTACTCTGTATGTTAACTAACTGGAATTTAAACAAAATCCTGAAACTAAAAGAAAATAAAAGAAAAAGAAAATATTCCCTTTAAGTTTCTTTCTGTAGCTAACACTGATCTCTCTATTGATTATACTCTTTCTTTTACATTCCTTCTGTTTTCTTCTTTATATTCCTTCTACTGCAAGGGCTGAGGTCATGGTATATGTCCTCTTTTCTTTTTAATGCTATTTCAAGATTATACTCCTATCGAACTCACAAAAACTTCACGTTTTGACTGGGATTTTATCTAACTGTTCCATCCACTATCTTTCCTGGCTATAATCATCTACTAAGTCTCAAGTCATTTTCTCTGCTCTTTTCATTTCTTTTTAATTTCTTTTAATGCTTATTTATTTTTTAGAGAGAGAGAGTGTGTGTGTGTGTGAGCAGGGGAGGGGCAGAGAAAGAGGGAGACAGAATCCAAAGCAGGCTCCAGGCTCTGCACTGGCAGCAGAGAGCCCAACACGGGGCTCAAACCCACAAGCCATGAGATCATGACTTGAGCCGAAGTTGGACACTTAACTGACTTTAATCGACATTAAACTGTTCTTTAATGATTTTAACTCCGGGTTCAGTCCCACTCCCTTAAACACTACCTTTGTTTTAATTCTTGGTGATCTGAACGTTCATGTAGAAAATTTTTCCATTGTTCTGGGCTCTTAGTTATTGAATCTCCTCTCCAATTTCATATTTCATCCTAATTCAGAGCCTCATTTCCATGGGAATACCCTTGACATTGCTCTTATAATTTCAGTTTCAAATCTCTACTGTAATGATCATGGAGTATTTTCCTAGCTCACTCCTGGTAATATTATGATTGAAGAAGAAGAAGAAGAAGAAAAAAAAAAAAAGACCACAAAAACAAAAACCCTTTGACCAGTATAGAATTTTAGAGTTGATCTTCAGTTGATCTTATCACCTTATCTTGTCACAGCCCTTCCCTCATTCGGTAGTGTTATTGCTTCCTTCCTTACATAACATAAATACCATGGCAAAGTCAAAAATCACTTCCTTACATATATTCATGTTCCTTTGTCTTTCTGTTTTTCATATTTACCTAGAAATACCAAAACTCTGGTGGAATCAATACTGTTACTTTCTGCATACACACAGCCAAATAAGGCTGAAGAAGGAAGACCTACCACATAATGAAACCAATCCCACTTTAAATTCATGATCATGAATGCTGCCTGACAATTATTTGCCTACTCCACCCTTTACAACTGACCTATTCAAATAATTTATATATTCTTGTCTTTCCTTTTTTCCTTTCTATTATTCTCTCAGTTGATGAATCTTTCCTGTGTCATTAAGCACATTAAAGCATTCAGAAGAAATCTTTTTTAATCTTCCATCACTATTTCTACCCATTTACCGAAATCTGTGCTATTGTATTCTATCCTCATTTCTGTTACTACAATTGAACTACCCATGCTACAAACTGATACCAACTTTATCCTATCCCAAATATATACTTCTAGACTACAAAGACCTACAAATTCCATATGCATATATCCAACTGGATTTGAATCTCCAATTGAATATTTAAAAGGCATCTCTAACTTAACACTCCAAAAAAAAAAAAATGAACTCCTGGTAATACTACCACCTCTCTCCCTCACCACCACCAACAAAAAAGCAACAAAAACTAGTTCCTCCTGCAGTTTTCTCCATCTCGGTGAATGTCAATATAAGTTCTTCTAGGTGCAGGGCCAGAAGATGCAGTGCTGTCTTTGATGTTTTTCTTTGCTCACACCTTGCATCTTGTCCTTTAAGAAACCCTGTGATTCTCTTTTCAAAATATATCAAGAATTTTACTGCTTCCGTCCACCTCCATTACTTCCACTTTGGTCCAGGTCACCAGCATCTTTGCCTGGATTATTGCAATAACTTCAGAGATTGAATCATGCTACTTCCCTTATCCACTGTATTTGATTCTCAAAAGCAGTCACTAGAGTGATCTTGTTAAAATGTAAGCCAGATTATATCCCTCCTCTACTCAAAACTCACAATTATCCCCACCATAGTCAGACTAGAAGCCCAAATGTTTACTATTATTTAAAATCCGTATATGTTTTAGGCTCCATTTCCTCTCTGATCTCATCTTTTCTCTACCTTACTGTTTCTCCTTATCATGTATCACTATGTACCATTCTGTACATTTTACTTTTCTATCTGGTTTCTTTCCAGTGCCCATTAAAATGTAAATGGTATAAGGATGGGGAGGGTGTGTGTGTGTGTGTGTGTGTGTGTGTGTGTGTGTGTTTTGTTTACTACTGTATTGCCAGGGCCTAGATCAGTGACTAACTCATAGAAGGCATGCAGTGAAAGGTAGTAGAATGAATAGATGATTTAATGAATGAAATTGTTTTCGCATGGGTACATGATCTAATCTTTTGTACATCCTAATACTTTTATAGCTGTGTGATTTACTGTAGTACTTCGAAGGATGACCTCTAATCAGACTAAGAGAAATTTGAATTTCATCTGCACCTCGCTATATGGATTTGCAAATTGTATTCAGTGTCTCCACGCCTTGTTCTCTCATTTTAAAAATGGACATAATGATAGTGACCAACTAAAAAGAAAATTGTGAGAGTTAAATGAAAAATTGTAGGTAAAATGTTCGGAATGTCCAGAGCAAAATTAGAAAATGTTTAATCTAGTTAATATTTTAATTAAACCTAATACATATTATTTTTCTTTTTGTGTCTTGATTTATATATTTAAGTAATTTTATTAGAGGAGAAGATAAACTCTTTGAGATTGGAAATGTTAACCTCTATTTGATTTTAAACCCTTCTTATTTGTTTCATACCAGTATTTAATCAGTTTTTCTTTGAGAGTCAGATGGGCTCCTGAAGTGTTTCAAATGGCTTATTTTCAGTATGCTAATCTCATATGATAAATCAGCCCCAAGGTTTCATCCATTTTTCTATGACAGACTACTCTAGAATAGAAAAAAAATAAAAATGTTTGTTATATACTTGGCTTCTGTGTAAAGGAAAGGAAAAAAAAATTCTCTGAAGGGTATTTTCACAGTGCATTATAAAAAATGTTTTTTACAGGAGAGTTTTCCTAACAATGACACTTAGGAAGTTCATTGAAATCATTTGCAAGTTATCTATGCAAAACTTTACATTTTATGTTCGATCATTTTTTTCACTTAGGAGCATAACCTTTAGAAGTATAATAGTCCCAATTGCTTGATGCTCACATAGTTTAACTAAATTTTCAGCATTAAAAAGTATGCATGTCAGACTGGCTCTTGTGCTCATGAGTTTAATTTTGATAATCCAGGAGGGGGTAACATGTAGGAGTCATCAGCAGGGGTTTGGTTGCATAAGGTTTCTCTAAGAGTCTGCACTAAATAGACATCACTGTGCAAGTTTACCACAGGTGGAAGAGAAGGGTTTTTGTTTTGTTTTGTTTTGTTTTGTTTTCTGTGAGAAACAACCACTCTAAATAAATAGATTTTGTTCAGATCCCCTGAGTTGATTAAAATTTGTATTCGTTGATCTAGAACTAGAATCCTAGTTATTATAACTGCTAGCCTGTGACTTTCACTTTACACTTCTGTATTCTTGTATTCTAGGCTGGTAAAAAGAAAAGTTTTCATCTAGGAGTTAAAACCACTTTTGGTTCTAATCACAGCTCTGTAAATGCAAAGATTTGCTGTTCTTGACAAGACTTGTCACCTCTATGCCTTAATTTACTCACCTGTGTAAGAACAGGGATTGTATCTGCCCTACGTTTTTTACTTATTGTTAGCAGTATGTTCAATGTGAAGATTATAAAAATTTTACTTATTGTTAGCAGTATGTTCAATGTAAAGATATAAAAGGTGTTGTATATTGCATGCTTTCTAATTGTAAGGATATTTCAACAGCAGTTGTAGCTAGCAATCTCTGCCGCTGCTGCTTTTCAACTTTTATTGTTTCCATTCAGTTTCTACATTTCTGTAACTACATTATGATCACCTCCTACCCCCCACCTTTTTAAAAATAGCGTTTTGGGTTTTGCCAGTAGAAATCCAATGATAAAATCGTACTGATAGTTGAAGAGTTCCTCTTATTTTTCTTCGGTAAAATTTTGGTAACACCAAATTGTGCTTTCAGTTCCGTACTTGGATATTAGTTGCAAGAGCATATTTTCTTCTCATTTTCACAGGAAATGACTTATTTCTAGTAGCAGTCCACGAACTGGGACATGCTCTGGGATTAGAGCATTCCAATGACCCCACTGCCATCATGGCCCCATTTTACCAGTACATGGAAACTGACAACTTCAAACTACCTAATGATGATCTGCAAGGCATCCAGAAGATTTATGGTATGTTACCACTGTTTTTTGTTTAACTAACCCTACAGGGAAGTCAGGAACTCCTGCTGTGTTTTCTTCTTTGAGATAGATGCTCTAAGTATTGAGAGAAATAAATACCAAAAAAAGAAAAAAAATTCTAGCCTATGGCAGAAGCCTTCTATCAATCAAGTTTTGTTGGCAACAGTCCCAGATACCTCAGTATTCAGATTATGGTAAAACCTGTACACTGATAAAATTTCTTACTGAGTTTAATTGAAACCCGCAGTGGTCTCAAAGAACTTATAAACCTTAGCCTTTAATGTTCAGGTAGAAAATGTAATAAATGAATATAACCCATGAAGAAAGTGAGAAATAGAAAGACTCTCTTGTAAGATACCGAGATTTTGGTAAAAACTGACAGACTTACCTTCGGTTTATATTTGACGTTAGATAGTACCTAGGTAAATCACTTGTGAGGTTACAGACAATACTTGTATGATGGATATAATAAAATGACCTCAAAAGCATGTAATTATTGACTAAGCGCGAAAGATAACAAACATGGGAGTGGAGTTAATGAATGGCAAGGTTTACTTACATATAATTCAAAATAAATTTCTAACATACTCTTATCATTTTTATTTATGGGGTTCAGTCAGTGAGTGCAAATTAAGACCAAAGGGAGAAAGACTATTACACCTATTTACTATAATCCTAACTCCCTCAACAGAACCATTGACCTTTACAAAGACATTTATTTTACACCTAATTGTTAAGATCTTGACATTTATAATTTACATATAGAGAATATGCTTTACTAAATTAGTGAAGTGAAGCTTTCATTTTACAACACAAAGACAAATATGTGTTATCTGTATGTTAATATCCAGTGTTCAGACGTCATTTGCATTTTTAAATAGCATAGTTTAAGTTCACTAATTTGTTTTGCATTCATTAGTTTTTCAATTTCAGTATCTCAGTGGTAACCATTCTCTCAGGGTTAAAATAGGATTTGAAAAAAAAAATAGTCAGCTTTTGCAGTACTCTTTATTTGAGGGATACTGAGAAAAGGGAAATGTCTCAGAGTCAAAACTAAGTAGCACATGCGGTGAATGTGCTATCCTATGCCTAGTTTGTGCCATCAGAAATTCCTCCTAAGTGGTTAGCTGAAAGAAGGCTCTTTCTCATGACCTCATGAATTAGTAGTCTAGACTGAAGGTCTGCAAAAGAATATTCTTTCCGTATCTAAATATTGAGTGTGAACAGCTCTGTATTTCTTTTTAAAAAATAAATCTCTTGAGGAATGATGCTTTACATCTGCAACAAATTATGTGTGTCAACTTTGGCTTAATTTAGAAACTTCTTTTTAGAAATACTTCTTCACATTAATATTTTACTAGTGGTGTTTTAATCAATAGGTGTTTTAGATTCAGTATTCAAATGAAACAGTCAGCTAGCAATTTGTCAAAACGTCATTAGAAGAAAATAATGAAAGTCAAGGAAAGGTTATAAATATAGCTGGAGACATAGAGTAGAATAAACTTTGATTTGTTAATGTTTATCTTTTAGAAATATTTGCATAGAATCATTGACTATCAAAATCTAGGATTAACTTTGGTGGAGCTTACATGCAGGGTTCCAGTATTCATTTTCATTTATTTATTATTTATACACCACCTACTTCCAAAAAAGATTTGAAAGCAGCTTTTCCAATAAGGACTGTGGTGAAGCTATAAAAAATATCATTAAAAATTAACAAAGAAAGTTTAGTTACTTGGATTCAGAATTTAGCATGATAAGGACTTTCTGATAGACTTGGCAATGGTTTGTTGGGTAAGAAGGTTTGTTTTTTCTGAAAACACACAATCTGAAAGACTTCTTAGCTCACTTAGCCCACGCCCTCCCATCCTGAGTGATTGTACTCTACACATATCATCCGGCACTATTCCAGTTTTAAGTGAACCAAGTGCTTTCCTCATATTTTCAAAGGTCCACCTGACAAGATTCCTCCACCCACAAGACCTCTACCGACAGTGCCCCCACACCGGTCCATGCCTCCCGCTGACCCGAGGAAGAATGACAGGCCCAAACCTCCCAGGCCTCCCACTGGCAGACCTTCCTATCCTGGAGCCAAACCCAACATCTGCGATGGGAACTTTAACACTCTAGCTATTCTTCGCCGTGAGATGTTTGTTTTCAAGGTAGGAGGCTGTGATTTTTTTTTTTTAACGGGAAATCGAGTGTCTACGGTGTCGCTTTAGAAAACAAGTTCTCATTCATTCTAACACTACCTTCCCAGACCTCTCACAGTCAGAAGTTTCAAAAAAGCATCTTAAAAAATAAACGCACAAATGGGCTTAAATGTCTAGCAGAAGATTGCTGTGACATTCTATTTGGGGAAGGCATTTATGTCAGCAGAAGCTAAAATGCCTAGAAATGTGAGGGTGAGAAAATGCTGCATGTTATGAACAGATAAAAAAGCATAATTGAAATCATGAATAGGAGCTAATCGGGATGATTGGCTTGGGAGCTTAGCCACTTCCAGGCACACGAAAGCACTTCTCTCTTTGATATGCACATCTTTATCAGATCCCTATGATTTCACTTGACAATTAAAGCATTGTTTTTTAGGAGTGCTGATGATCATTTTGTTTGAGTCTACTGATAGAAATTTTAGTAAAATCTCCTCTATGAGACCATCCTCTTGATTTTACATGGACTTATCATTGATTTCTTTAGTCTGGCATTTATACCTACCTAATTTATATTTTTTAAAAAGATAAAACTAAGTTTACATTTTGCTGAGTGTGCCTTTGAATGCCATTGAGTTCTCAGACAACACTGATAAACAGTGTATCAAAGTAAGTTACATAATGAACTTACAAAGCAAGTTCAACATAATGTTTAAAAATGAATATAGTGTAATACTGAAAAAATACTTCTCCTTCAATATTTGTAAACTAATTTGAAAAGTTAATGAAAAATGTGTTTTATGTTGGCATTAGAATATTAAAGTAACCACATTTTACCAATATCATCCATTTAAAAGTAAAATAATGTGCTCTCTTTTTTGGTAGATGTGAATCAATAAATACTGAAATATTGTCGTACTTATACAGATTTTCCTATCTACCAGAGGCTACACTTTAAAAATATAGATTTCATATAATTTTTAATAGACAAAGTACTCTGTCTCCTTTATTGGAAAATAAGATTTGGATTTGATATGCATAAGAGCATCGTACTTACCAGGAAAAATCAATGCTTTTGTTCAAACACATGAATAGATTTTTGAATTCCATAAATGCTTTGCAATACTTAATTAGATATCTCCCATTCAATTTAAGTAGACTAATAAATTTAGATTCAAGGAGAAAAAAACTGAAAGCTCTTTTTCCCTTTATATACAGCCACTCATTGTGACTAAGCCCACAGCAACTACTTGAAATGAAAACAAAATGCAATCATTTGTTTATTCTACAAGACACCAAATGATATTTGAAGGATTTTTTGTCTCTGTTTTGGCCAAATTTAAACATCCCAGTTTATACCTTGATATCATAGTAATATCTGAGAATATGATGTGAAATTGACTCTGAGTGCATTCTTTCCATCCTTCCTGTCTAATTAGATTGTAGGTCTCAGAAAAAGACTGGTGTCATCATATGTAATGATCATTTTCACCAGCCTTGCTGCTCTACACACTGGGAATGTTCTTGGTTGACAAAATGAATTCTTATGATCACTGGTTTCCTGGAATCAGGAGTTGATGAAAAGCAAATAGACCAATTCCTAAGTAGAATCCAGTAGCCACTATTATTAATATCAAAACAGGTTTATGAGCATCATGAGTAAGGCCTGCTTCTCTAACCTTCTGTGGTACCTTGGATTCCTTAATTGAAACTCTCTACAGGACAGAGTTCCTAAACTCTGTCTGAAATTAATTTCTTTTTTCCACTGGTCCCCGTCCTCTTTCTAAGAATAATTACTGTTGAGGATATCTTCTGATAGGTATTGTATTCTTTTTAATCTCCACTTAGTGGATTATATGTCACATAGATTGATAATTTTCATACTCATCTCTTTCATATAATGAGTAAGTATGCCCAGGGTAGTTTACTAGGCACTAGGAATGAATAGAAGGTAGTGCCTCTGTCTTTATGGAGCTCATATTCCAGGAGTGAAGACAAACATGAACTCAAGAACTTTTAAAACACGAGAGTAAAAGGTACGACATTGACATGAAGAGAAAATACTTAAGTCTAATTGAATAGATCAAGAAAACTTGACTGAGAAAAAGCTTATGCTGAATTTTGAGAGAAATTTCTTAGGCACATTAAAGAAACTGATGTTTGATTTACTAAAAAGTTGGCGTATTGAGAGAGAGAAGATAGACATATTTAAGTCTAGTGAAAAGTGACAAATAATATAAATCAGAAATAAACACAATTTGATCAAAGCAAAGAAAGCATGATTGAGTGATACCTGCTCCTTAATTAATAGCTGCCGTGGATTGGGTAACTAATATGTCCCTCAATGTATGCTAAGCACTTAATCTCTAAACTTTGTAATAATATTGTATGAAGGATAGAATTCTCAATTTTACATATGAGAAAACTGAGAATCAGAAAAGTAGTTAGTCTGAGTTACAAGGTCTGTAAATAGTAGTCAGTAGTTGAACTCAGGTCTACTTGATTCTAAAATCTGTGTTAAACTTTCCCTTACCTGAGAATAAAAGGAAAGTTTCAAAAGAAAAGTAGCAGACTTTAAACTATATTTTAAAATAGTAAATATGCAAGAAATCTTTACTGAGCTTTTACTGTGAGATGCTGTTTGAGGCACTAGCAATGCAGTATTTAAAAAAAAAAAAAAAACAAACAAACAAACAAACAAAAACCAGCTAGACCCTGGCTTCTTGAAGCTTATATTTTAGGTTTCAAAGTGCTCCACACCGAGATTCCCCATAGGTCACTGAAGGATATGGGAAAGCATCCACCAATTCTGTTTTCCTTAATTAATAACCTCTGGTCCCCTAAGTTATTGCTGTATACCTAAATACGCTAGACTAACTTTACTCCAAAATATTGTCATTTTCCCCCAGATCTGTCCTACCTGCCTAAAATTACTCACTGCCATCTCTTTCGTGCATGCCTGCCTTTTAAGGTTTCTTTTAATATACTCATCATTAACCTTCATAGTCTGCTCCTTCAAGTATATTTTAGGATCACCCACTCTTTGATCTCACTTTTACTAAGGCAACTTGATTCTCTACTTTTCTTCACCATGGATTCTCTATACAAATTAGGAAACTTTATCTCCTCAAGCCTTCATCACTCAACAATCATTTCACTTCCATTTCAATGTCCCAGGCTTCTTTGCCAGCCTCTGCTTATCTAAAACTTCCCTCCTCAGTGTCTTCCACATGTCCCAGCCACTGTGACTATTCTTCAAATCCAAACCTCCTTCTAGTACATTTATATTTAGTATATTGTATATTTATTCTCTACGTTCAATTAGCATACTTTTAATTTCCATCTTCTCTATTTCTCATTTTAATCATCCCTTAACTAGATTCTAAACTTCTTCAAAGTGGGGATTGGTTCATGTGGGCTTCATAGTGCTCATTTATTGTGATCAAGCTAATGAATAACGATCCCGATGTAATAATTATTTAATGAAAACTACGGCTACTATCGTGTTTATACAATAGTAAACAACCAATATGACATTACTGAAAGTATTTCATTCTGGTAGCTTGTTATTCGTTGCCCAACAATTTCTGTGAGTGCCATTTACTTAGATTCTGTATATGTGTCTTTTTAAATAAAAAGTAAGAAAATCTAGATATAAGGAAAGGGTTGATATCATTAGATAATTTTGTTTTCTTATTAGAAAGGAACCTTTCTTTAGAATGGTAGTTTTAGCATAATTCTTTTTGGAAGCAAACTTCCTCTTTGGAGATTTGATTTACATTGAGCTTTCTAGGCACTCATTTATTTGAAGTGAGTTCTATATGGAAATATAATAAACATTATATATGTATAATATACAACATATATTTTAATTATAGATATATAGATATAATTCCATCATTTCCTATAGTTAAAATTCTGAATATATATCTATATCTGTCTATATATCTACAGAGATAGAGAGATATTATCTATACAGAGAGATACAGTTAGAGATATCTGCCTGAGACAGTTAAGCTTTCCATGCAGCTTTATAAGCTTTGGGGAATGTAAACCACCTAAAGGAAGGAAATGAAAAGCAAAACAAATTGCCAAGGAACAGAGAAACAAAAAAGCAATACCAAAGAAGCTTTGTCCTTGCTCTAGAGAGGTGATTATTAAGAGTGTTCCCTGAGGGGGGCGCCTGGGTGTCTCAGTCGGTTGAGCCTCTGACTTCACTTCGGCTCAGGCCATGATCTCACAGTTCGTGGGTTCGAGCCCCGGGTCGGGCTCTGTGCTGACAGCTAGCTCAGAGCCTGGAGCCTGTTTCAGATTCGGTGTCTCCCTCTCTCTCTGACCCTCCCTGCTCATGCTGTCTCTCTCTCAGAAATAAATAAAATATTTTAAAAATTGAAAAAAAAAGTGTTCCCTGAGGAGCAAAAGCTCTATGTATCACATGGCGCTGCTGTTGTGACTGAGTCGACAATAGGAAGATATGATTGTTCAGAAGAATCCTCAAATTTCTTTTGGACTACAAGATAAAAACATGGAATATTTTGTTATTTTGTGGTGTGAAGGAAAACAGAATCATCTAGACATGTACAGGGAATATTTCAGCACAGGATATTTTGTTGTATAAGAAAGCACTAGGAACTATTCTTCCTGAAGTTGAAGATAGGAAGAAAAACTGTATCCACACCTGGAGTTCCTTTATTTTTTAAAAGTTTTTAATGTTTTTAAAAATTTATTTCTGAGAGAGAGAGAGACAGCGTGAGCAGGGGAGCGTCAGAGAGAGAGAGACGGAGACACAGAATCTGAAACAGGCTCCAGGCTCTGAGCTAGCTGTCAGCACAGAGCCTGACCCAGGGCTCGAACCCACGAACTGTGAGATCATGACCTGAGCCGATTCGGATGCTTAACCAACTGAGCCACCCAGGTGCCCCCTGGAGTTCCTTTAGCATGCAGCACATGGGTGCGCGCGCGCGCATGCACGCACGCACACACACACACACACACACACACACACACAC